GCCCACCCATACACTCCTATGCACCTGACCTGTACTATGCCCCCAAATACACTCCCTGACCTGCATAGCACCTCTTGTTCACTGTTGTGCATCCTCTCCAATTGGTGTGACGCCTCTTGCTTACTCTTTCAACCCTCCATGACCGATGCTGATTCCTGTGCACCCTTCCCTGCCCCCCGGATTATCTCTGCCTTGTGCAGTGCCTCTCACATACTGCCTCTTGAGTGCCCCTTCTAACCCTCCTCCATACAAGACAGTAGCCACCTTTCTACCTGTAGGTCTGGGACTTGCAACTTCCTATGGCTTCCCCATGTTGTGGGAAACTGGCAGAAAGTTGCCAGGCCTAACAACTATGGCAGTGATGGCGAACATTTTAGAGATGGAGTGCCCCAAAAATGACCCCACCCCCGCTCCGGGCCCTGTCCCGCCCCCCATCCCACCCCCCTGCCCCACGCCGCCCCTGGTCCCACCCACTTCACCCCTGCCTGCCCTGCCCCTGCTCCCCCCGCCCACCCGCAGGGCCACTCACCGCCTCCACGGCCAGCTGCAGAACGCCCAGGCGACACAGCGCCATGGCGGCCACGCCCTCTGCCCGTGCCCTGCAGCATCAACTGTGCACGACGGGGCGTGAGGACGGAGTCTTCTCCCCACTGCCTGGCTGCCATGTCCTTGGTTGTGCTGCTCCACACGGGCTGTGCCCGGGCACGATTCTCCCCCGGGGGGGCTGTTGGGGAGGAGGGAGCCATGGGGGGAAGCGGGGCTGGGACGATGGCGCACATGCCCATAGAGAGGGTTCTGAGTGCCGCCTCTGGCCCGCGTGCCATAGGTTCGCCACCATTGAACTATGGGATTCAGTTAACAATGGCAACCAGGACTATAGGGATTATCATCACTAAGTGATGTTGTCCTGCTTTATGACTGTATTGGCTAGTAATGGAAATTCTGGTCCTAGTTGCCGTCATAAGTTGAGGACTACCTTTAACATCAAGAAAAACTCTGCAGCATTTTTTTTAAAGATACAGAATAAAGAGATGTTTGGTTGTATTTTAAGAGATAATGATACGTTTTTAATGTTGATTACACTTGCTCAGGATGAAGGGGGAAGTTTCTTTTATTTTTCTATTTTTATCTCTTTTTCCCATTTTCTGTTTTTTGTTGTTTTTAACATATTTATTTTGTAGATATATATGTTTTACTTGTATAATATAATCCTTAATAAAATTATTGGGGGAAAAAAAGCAGTGTTTTGGAAAAAAAGCCAAAGACATAAATAGTAGTCAGAAAAGTACTAGGCAAAATGGGTTAAGAAGGATGCAGGGTTGTTGATGGAAAGTGGGATTGGAGGAGAAAGAGAAACAGCAGGATAGGAAATGCAGCGGCAAAAAGTAGGCTAAAAAAATTAATTTTGGGGGCATGAATGCAAAATAGAGATGAAGCAGCATGAAATGCATTAGGGAAAGCAGGGTGATATATCCTCTGTGAGATCAGATAGAAAAAAAGCAGTATAGCAGGATTTCTGAACTGAATATTTAGTAAGAAATCTAGCAGTGTATTGGAGGGGAGATACGGCAGAAAAGGTGAGGAAGTGTAACGGGCGTAGTTAACTTTCTTTCTGCAGCCCAGAACCCTCACTTTTTTTTACTCCTTCTATACATCAGTGTTGAGGTATGAAAGGAATCCTTTTTATAGTTTTTATGAGTTTGTAAACTCAGTGTTCAGAAACAAATAACTATCAATTATAGTATGTAAAGCAAGACTGCTCTGGTGCAATTCAGATCATTGCTACCGTCCCTATAAACATTTTCTGTCTCTTTTCAAAATGTTTTATTTGGGGGCATTTTCCCCCCTAATTTTTTAATCAGATGTGGGGAATACTCTTTTGATGGAATAGTAATTTGATGTCTCTATTTTAGGACTGCCAGGAGTGTAGATAAGAACATTTACATTGTACAAGGAGAAATCAATACAGTAATAGGAGCCATAAAACGCAGTGCAAGATGGAGCACTCACGTACATTTGGTAAGTTACTAGAAAATGGAAAAATTGTATTAATTAAAATCCAAATTTGTCTAATAAAATTTATCTTTCAATGTTAACTGTTTAAGAGAAATTGCAATAATTAATAATCCTATGTTAATATATGCAATTTAAATATTTTATGTCGGACCCAGTAACTTGAAATTATTTCAGAGGAATCATAAATTGATTCTCTAAAACAAGCCCAAAGGGAATGATAATAATTTTTTTTTCTAATTCTACACATGAGGTTAGAATAAAAGTCCAGCGATGAACTTGAAAATCTGGTAAATCAAACCCACAATTCTCATAAAGCAACCTCATTGCTTATGGAAATCAAGGGGCCCTTTCCTGCTATAAAAACTTCCTTGAGTTTATCCATCTGGGTAACACACCTAATAGGAATTAGCATTGGAATTCCTCTTGAAATGCATCAGTCTAGAAGTTATATTAATTTGACTACATTAATCTTGAGAGACAAAGGCAATTTTAATCAATAATTTATACCCAGTGCAGTCTCATTATGCTTTTAGACATATTTCATTCAGTGTATTTTGGGCAAAATAGTATCTCAAGTATTTTATACAATCCAAGCTAATTGTAAATCCCAACTTTTGATAGTAATCAGTAGCTATTTTTAGCTATTTTTGTTGCAGTATATTCTGAATATAAGATTCATTCATTTATTTATAGATTTTATATGGCTATCCAACTGAACCAGTATGACTTGGGACAACCTCAGGAACCTGAAGTAATGCTGTTATGTGGTTGTCCAAAATACCCTATGTATGGCAGAATATAGCATATTATAACCTTTTCTACCTAGTATTACAATTAAGGCAGTATTTTGTGGTGTACAATGATGGCAGTGTGAAAAATGCAACTCTTCTAAGAGATATTAAGGTTCCCGGCTGAAATGTAATTATTCTCATACTAACAGCAAGCCCTAACTACAATTATGTATGAACATACGAGGTTAGCTATTACAGAAAGTAACATGTGGACTAGAATCATAGGTTTTCCCTTATAGTAAAGGCAGGTTTGCTCTGCAATAGAAGCATTATTATACCTTCCCTTCTGTACTGTAAAATACAAGATGTTAATGTAGCCATATCATGGTTAATATAATGGACATGAACATTATCTTTAATTTTGTATAAGGAGAGTGGTTGGACCAAATGACTTACATATGCTTGAGAAATTTATTCCATTTATTCTATAGCTCCTCAAAATTTTACAATTAGTTTAAAGGCTACAAAGAAACCAGATGTATAACCACATGTATATTATCTATATCAGGGGTCCCCAAATAGCCACGGCCTATTTGCAACCTGGCTGTGTGAATGGTGGGCAGCATGCATGCACACGCAGCTCGACTCGCATGAGTGGTGAGCCGGCATGCATGCACGAGTCAAGCTGCATGTGCAAGCGTGTGTGTGCCAACGTACCCTTGTGCGAGTTGAGCTATGTGTGCGTGCACACAAGCCCACCGCTTGCGTGACCCAGTTTCCCTCTCTCTCCCCCCCTGCCGGGCTGCCAAGCCACAAAGATTGGGGAGTACTGATCTATATAGTTAATATTATAACTGACAGACTTTAGACTGTATTTTTGAAATTGCATTCAACTGTTTTTGATTTTATTTCAACTGGTGAGCTAGTAAGTTTCCAGCTTTATCACTAGATTCCCTGTGTTTTTTCTTAGTTCATTTCAAGAACTATTCCATTTAGTCAATGGTGTAGTTATCCTAGTTTATTCTTATTCTTATTTATGTATTAAACTTATATGCTGCTCAAGTCACCCAGAGAAACTCTAGGTGGCTTATCTTGTAAAAACCCACAAGATAAAACATTAAACCATTAAAACAATAAATATTAACATTAAAATGGAGTTAAATTTGACAAGATGGGAAGAAGCGAGCAAGAGGCACACTGGAAGAGGTGGAGTCTTGTCGACTTAGTCCAGGGGTAGGCAACCTCGGCTCTTTTATGACTCATGGACTTCAACTCCATAGCTGACTCAGGAATTCTGGGAGTTGAAGTCCATGAGTCATAAAAGAGTCGAGGTTGCCTACCTCTGGACTAAGTCCATTACCACTTCCAGAATGATATTGTAGGAGATGACCAGGCTGAGCCCTAGGGAGGGGTCAAATGTGTCATGAGTCCCTGTGCGCCTACAACAAATCTAAGTACAGCCCACCTTGAATGCCTCTCTTATCTCTTGCTCATTTCCTTGACCGTTAGTTGATCAGAGTTTAAGCTTGTAATAAATCATTATACTCATTTGAACTGCCTGAAACTCCTGATTTCCTTGGCATTTGACAGATATGCCCTCATTAATCTAGCTGGTGCAAATGCTTTATAAGTTTCAGCAATACACCTTTAACCATCTTTTCTTGTTGTATTAATGTCTCCAGATAAATGTCTCTAGTTTTCTGAGGCAAAAGTTATCATGTATGCCTTAAAAGAGTTCCAAACAAGTAGTAGTAGTAGTAGTAGTAGTAGTAGTAGTAATAATAATAATAATAATAATAATAATAATAATAATAATAATAATAATAATAGTATTAATAGAGATGGGAGATTAACAGATTAATAGATTAACATAGATTTCTATTAATTTAAAAAGAGTGTTTTAATATTCCACAAAGGAAATTTCTTTTATTCATTCAAATGCTAGAGTGAATCGAGTTTTCAGATTTCAACATATAGTGAGGGGAAAAAAGTATTTCAACCCCTGCTGATTTTGTACATTTGCTCACTGACAAATGATCAGTCTGAAAATTTAATGGTAGGTTTATGTTAACAGTGAGAGACAGAATAACAACAAAAAAAATCCAGAAAAAAAGTTATAAATTTATTTGCATTTTAATGAATGAAATAAGTATTTGATCCCCTATCAATCAGCAAGATTTCTGGCTCCCAGGTGTCTTTTATACAAATAACGAGCTGAGATTAGGAGCACTTTCTTAAAGGGAGTGCTCCTAATCTCATCTTGTTATCTGTATAAAAGACACCTGTCCACAGAAGCAATCAATTAGATTCTAAACTCTCCGCAATGGCCAAGACCAAAGAGCTGTCAGGGACAAGATTGTAGACCTACACAAGACTGGAATGGGCTCCAAGACTATTGCCAATGGAATTATTCGCAAATGGAAGAAACACAAAATAACTGTCAATCTTCCTCGGCCTGGGCTCCATGCAAAATCTCAGCTCATGGAATTTCAATTTTCATGAGTACGGTGAGGAATCAGCCTAGAACTACATGGGAGGATCTTGTCAATGATGTCAAGGCAGCTGGGACCATAGTCACCAAGAAAACAATTGGTAACACCCTACGCCGTGAAGGACTGAAATCCTGCAGCGCCCGCAAGGTTCCCCTGCTCAAGAAAGCACATGTCCAGGCCCATCTGAAGTTTGCCAGTGAACATCTGAATGATTCAGAGGAGAACTGGGTGAAAGTGTTGTGGTCAGCTGAGACCAAAATTGAGCTCTTTGGCATCAACTCAATTCGCCATGTTAGGAGGAGGAGGAATGCTGCCTATGACCCCAAGAACAACATCCTCACCGTCAAACATGGAGGTGGAAACATTATGCTATGGGGGTATTTTTCTGCTAAGGGGGCAGGACAACTTCACCGCATCAAAGGGATGATGGATGGGGCCATGAACTGTCAAATGATGATGATGATGTTGCAAGGGACCTTGGAGGTCATCTAGTCCAACTCCCTGCTCAGGCAGGAAACCCTATACCATTTCAGACAAATGGCTGTCCAGTCTCTTCTTAAAAACTTCCAGTGTTGGAGCATTCACCGCTTCTGGAGGCAGGTTGTTCCATCGATTAATTGTTCTAACTGTCAGGAAATTTCTCCTTAGTTGCTTCTCTCTTTGGTTAGTTTCCATCCGTTGCTTCTTGTCCTGCCTTCTGGTGCTTTGGAGAATAGCTTGACTCCCTCTTCTTTGTGGCAGCCCCTGAGATATTGGAACATTGCTATCATGTCCCCCCTCATCCTTCTCTTCATTAGACTAGACATACTCAATTCCAGCAATCGTTCCTTATATGTTTTAGCCTCCAGTCCAATCTTGGGGGAGAACCTCCTTCCCTCAGTCAGGGCATTGAAAATGGGTTGTGGATGGGTATTCCAGCATGGCAGTGACCCAAAACACACGGCCAAGGCAACAAAGGAGTGGCTCAAGAAGTAGAAGCACATTAAGGTCCTGGAGTGGCCTAGCCAGTCTCCAGACCTTAATCCCATAGAAAATCTGTGGAGGGAGTTAAAGGTTCGTCCTTCAGCCGCGAAACCTTAATGACTTGGAGAGGATCTGCAAAGAGGAGTGGGACAAAATCCCTCCTGAGATGTGTGCAAACCTGGTGGCCAACTACAAGAAGCGTCTGACCTCTGTGATTGCCAACAAGGGTTTTGCCACCAAGTACTAAGTCATGTTTCGCAAAGGGGTCAAATATTTATTTCACTCATTAAAATGCAAATCAATTTATAACTTTTTTGAAATGCGTTTTTCTGTTGTTATTCTGTCTCTCACTGTTAAAATAAACCTATCATTAAAATTATAGACTGATCATTTCTTTGTCAGTGGGCAAACATACAAAATCAGCAGGGGGTCAGATACTTTTCCCTCTCACTGTAGCATGATCCGATATTGCATTTGGATCAGGAGAAAAGTCTATCACTTGATCCATCAGATTTTGTTGTACCTTAGATTTTTGATCGAATTAGGTGCTCAGCAGATATCAAGATAATTGAAATCTCTCAATATTTCAATTGTATGCCTCTGAAGGACTAATGTGATGCTAGAAGATGTCATCTGTATTTTTGCCTGCTCGCATAGTCTGTGAAAAAAAAACGCCTCAACCGAATGTATTATTTTTGTTTCTCTTTTTTATTCTTAGCTAAACGCTTTTGACTAGATTTTCATGCTCCAATTCCTAAATTTCTGTGCACATGCATGTTTTCTTTAGGAATAGTGTAATACCCTTATCTTTTCTTTTGGGTGTGTTTTTTTAAATATATTTTTGCTGTCAACACATCACTTTGTTTTCCTGGATTAGGATCTCTAGATGCCCTGTTTGTTTATTCTCTTCTATTCTGTTCTGTTCTGTTCTGTTCTATTCTATTCTATTCTTAAAACATCTGAAGTTTTAAGTTGTATTTTATATTTTCCTCTCCTACAAAAAACATTTTTCTGCAGAATTAAGAACTGTAAATTGCTAATACTCAGAAAAAAATGTCTTTATAGTCATGCCTTTGTATATTGTGCCATTGAACGGATTAAAATCTTCATTCTCTCTTCTGAGAATCTAGCTTTAAATATATAACAGTATATTCATATGTTTAGGATGAAGAGCGCGATCCCTTATTGCACAGCTTCAGTGTTTTGAAAGACGTTTTGAACAATGTAACTGGTAAGTCTTAAAATTTAAAAAAATAATATTGTGAAGTAGGATGTATATGCAGTGCAGATACTCGGGGAAAATGATCCTAATTTAAGAATATCTCCTCTTCTGAAAAATCAGATTTTTGAGAGAAAAAAGGAAACTCAATTGTTTTATTGGATTTTAATAAGTAATTTATTATCAGTATGTAACATGGCTGTCTTTCACTTGCAATTAGTTAGAAAAAATCTGCTCTTCCAACCTTCTAGTTTTACATTTCCTGATTATTTCTTGTTTTCTCCCAATAAGAAATGTTGTGTGTTAATTTTTTACACAAATTTCCTCATTTTGAGTATCTTTACTGTTTTCAGCTTCTTTGAATTTTAAATATATGTGTAGAGTAGAATAGAGCTGGAAGGGACCTTGAAGGTCTTCTAGTCCAGCCCCCTGCTCAAGCAGAAGAGCCTATACCATCCCAGAAAAGTGACTGTCTAGCCCCAGGGGTAGGCAACCTTGGCTCTTTTATGACTCGTGGACTTCAACTCCCAGAATTCCTGAGCCACCTTGGCTCAGCTTGGAAACCTCTCCCTTTCCCCTCAGCATGGCTGGCTCAGGAATTCTGGGAGTTGAAGTCCACGAGTCATAAAAGAGCCAAGGTTGCCTACCCCTGATCTAGCCTCTTCTTGAAAATCTCCAGTGATGGAGCACCCACGATTTCTGGAGGCAAGCTGTTCCACTGGTTGATTGTCCTCACTGTAGTTATGTTTAAGCTCATCATTTCCTAACATTTTTATGTACAAGTTCTGAATATATTTTGTCTTGTTGTAACATTTGCATGCAATAATATTGCAGTGTTATATACTATGCTTATTTATTTTTCTCTAGGATTTAGAACATGATTCCCTTCCGAGAGTCATTCTAAGTATTGAGATTTCAAGTGGTCATGCTCAGTGTAGGTAGTCCTCGAGTTACGAAGGTAATGGAGCCTGCCCATTCCATTTGTAACTCAAGAATTCGTGGGAGTGAATCTCCTACCTTGAATGAGATCACTCCCTGCTCGTTAAGACGCTCACAGGCTCGTTAAGTGAACATGAGATATCTAAGGGTGGGGAAGGCCATGGGGGGGCTTTGTGATGGGACAGGCCCCAAGGCCTCCCTGACCCACTAAGATACCTCATGCTTCCCCCTCCTTGCTGCAGCACTGGACTCACTTACCTTGAAAAGATCCATCTCCTGTCTGCCACAGTTTCTGCCTTTGAGGGAGAGGAGAGTCGATGGAAGGTCCTGGGTGCTATAAATATTGCGTGAGTTCAGACACCCATCTTCTTTTGCAGAAAATGGGAGCCTAAACTCTCCTGGTGTTTGCAGTGCCTATCTCCTGCTCCCGCCCCAACTCATTTCCACCACTGCCAGAACAATTTTCACCAAGACAGAGACCTTGGGGAGACTGGAAGCTCCATCTGTATGCAAAGGCTGGCTTAGAAACAGAGCGAAATGCTCCGTTTCTCAAGTGCCCCACTGGCAGCCCCACGGAGCTTGCAATCTCTGTCAGGTCTCCATCTGGGTAAAAAGAGTTTGAGCACCTATGGGGTGTTTGGCAACGAAGCATTCGCTTCGTTTTCAATTGCCCCATAGGTGCTGAAACACTTTTTATCCGGACGGAGACCTGACAGAGACTGCAAGCTCCATATGCCTGGAACGTGGCCCTTGAGAAACGGAACCTTCTGCTCCGTTTCTAAGCACGCATTGGCAGCCACCCGGAGCTTGCAGTCTCTTCAGGTCTCTGTTTGGATAAAAAGTGTTTCAGTGCTTGTGGAGCTGCAATATTTGTGATTTGGGGACTTGCTTGTAAACACTAGGCCAGTGATGGCGAGTCAATGGCACGGATGCCAGAGGTGGCACTCAGAGCCCTCTCTGTGGGCACGCGCGCCATTGCCCCAGTCCTAGGCCTTCAGCTGGGTTTTATAAAACCGTTTCGCTTTAGGCCTCCACTGCCATGTGCAAAAAAAAAAAAAGGTTCAATCAGTCAATTTCAACTTCTCGCGGGGAAAAAAAGATCTTGCAAAGTTGGAATTGATTGAACTTTTTAGTTCCACCTAGTCTGCCGTTACCACCGCAGCCACGCCCACCCAATGGGCCACACCCACCCAATGGGCCACACCCACCCAATGGGCCACACCCACCCGGCACTCAACGATGCATAAGTGGGTTTTGGGTTGCAGTTTGGGCACTCGGTCTCTAAAAGGTTCGCCATCACTGCACTAGGCTATGCTTGTGTAACTTCGAACGAGCATTAAGTGAACGCTTGTGACTTGGGGATTGCCTGTGCTACCTCAGCTTCTTATTTTTATAATGTCTTCCTCTCATTTATTACCACAGTCAGCATTCGTGTATTCGAAACAAATATTCTTTTTTTCTCCCTTAACAGTGTATCTCATATTCCAAACAACTTTAGCCAGTTGTTCATTAGACAGCAATTTTTTTAACAGCTGAAAATTATTTCACAAAACATCTTTTCTTTGGCATTATTTACACCTAAAATTGGTTATGGTGGTAACTTTTGATAACTCCCAACATTTCTAACTGCTTATTTTTAAATTTCCTGTTTTTATTTGTATTTTTTCAGCATCTTGATTCATTTCTATATTATATTGTTCCTCATTGTGATCCCTTATTGGTGGCATCACAATGTTGTTTAGGTTTGTGGTTTCATTTTTTTATTTCTATTGGGCCAGATAGACATAATTCCATATTAAACAGTGTGATAGAGTATTCTGCTCTTCTGTTTTATAAGAATACGTTGGGTTCTTTTTATGACATCCAAAACCATTCTTGAAAATAAAAGCTGTGCTTTGTTTTGCAATATACAAATTTACTATACATTTAAGTTAAAATAATCTATATAATATTAAAACTCTTGTATCTATAACCTTTAACTGCGTAAAACGTTGCATCGTAGAGCAGGTTCAAGCTTTTTGAATCGAAGTGCCTCAGATGGATACACTTACAGAAGGCACTCAAAATCTGGGACCCGTGACTCCTGTGAAAATGAAATTTAATAAATTTTATAAAACATTTCACGACATAAAAATTATCATAAAACATTTTATGACATAATACAAAAGGCTACGAAACATTTCTTTTTTTAAAAAAAATAATAATAAAGTTTTATTAATTTTTGCAATTAAACAACAAATATCAATATGATGCATTTACATATACAAGCAATTAAAAAATAATCCAGATCAATACATTTTCGGAGACGCTCGGCGGTCCCCGCCTTGCCTCCACCCTCATTCACTTTCCTGTCCTTCCTCCCTCTATTCCCACAACCTCTCCACCTTCCTCCTTTCCACCTAACTACATCCCCTCTCCCTTCTTAACCGCCTCTTCGAGTGCAGTTTGGGGTACCAGCCGAGCATCTCCTTTTTTCAATACAATTATTATTCACCTATAACATATAAATACATCAATTTTTATAATTTTAATCCCCTAATCCCCTCCCTCCCTCCCCCCCCTGACTTCCCAGAGCTGAGTACAGGATTAAACATATAATAATCCAAGTTTAACCCAAACAACCCAACCATAATATAAACAAGTATAAACTTACTTTAACTCTAACATACAATCACCTTAACTATGAACTATATATTTAACTTATATATAAAAATATTTATAAGTAACCATAATTAATCAAAAGCCATATGGTAATTGTTCATTTCATATTTTCTCTGAATATAATCTATCCATCTTCTCCATACCAGAATAAATTTCTCTTGATATTGATCCTTCAGGTATGCGGATATTTTTGCCATTTCTGCAAAATATGATTGAAAGACAGAGGTTAGCAGGTATAAGCCATTACAGAGGAAAAAGGTTAAAACTCGTTAGTTACAGGAACCTGCTGTTATACAGTACAACATCAAATTCACTTCATTTGAGTCCAGATTGTCCATAATGCCCAATAGAAATAATTGCGGTGTAAATTTTATCTTCTTCTTAAAAATCTGTTGAAGATTCCACCAAATCCTAATCCAAAAAGCTTTAACATCCCTACATGTCCACCAAATATGATAATAAGTTGCATCCAAATTACCGCATCTCCAACATTTTGGTTGCAAGTTCGGATACATGCAAGACAATTTTTGAGGGTCCAAATGCCACCTATAAAACATTTTATAAAAATTTTCCCTTAAATTCATTTCTTGATTGACCCTTTGACTCTGAGTACAATTTCCTTCTTTACATATGTTTATTCAGTACTAGTGCTGCTTTTGATTTAATTATCAGTTATGTATTAGGCTTGGATTCACTAACATACATTCCTTTGCTCTGTTCCCATATGTGGCACTCAGAATTCCATCAGAGATCTGTCCACATATGCAAGTGCCTAACTGATTTGTTTTCTACTTTATATGCTATTGTCTGTGAGTAGACCAGAGTGTATGAGAACCGTCCCCAAGCGGTTGGAAAAAAGTCATAGAATAGATGCATTATACAGTAAATTATATTATATAATTATATAATATTAAATTATATAAATTATATTAAATTATATTAAATTATATTAAATTATAATTTTATAACTTATAATTAAATTATATTAAAAACCTAAAATGCACTAAATTGTTATAGTTCAGGTATGCTAGCAGTAAAAAAATATTTACCATATCAGGTAATTTGCATTACCTAATCATTTATTGGATTTGGCTATATGCCTGTAATAAGAAGTGTCAAATGCGGAGGTGTTCCCTTAAAATGTGTTCTTCTCCACTGAATCATATAGGTTAATATCTTTGTTTTAGCTCTGTTTTCTTATTGTAGCTCTCCATCTCTGAAGAAGTAAAGAGAAATGAAACTATATTATCATTAAAAGCTCCCTGCCCAGTCTTGATCTAGAGAGCTGAAATCACAGATATCAGTTACTAAGTTGGAACTGTCTCATGTGGAATGTAAATTGCTCCTGTCCTGAGAAAGGCATTAATCCCAACTATCCAGAAGTGAACTATATCAGTCTGTGTTGATTTCTT